TCATGTCACTTGTTTCTAAGGTTAAGGTATTAGCTGTGATTGAAAATCTGAGACATTGTGTTATGAAATTCTGATTAGGAAGGAAATGTGGAAATCCAGTGGCTGTGGGCTTAGAAAGACACATGGCATTGCATGACATTGTGGTAAAAAGGGGCAACAAAGAGCAGGCAAATGCAGCACTGGGGAGTTCAGTGCAAAGCTGGGTAACGCCACATTTCTGTGCCTCGATTACAAAAGTTAACCTGCTCAGAAACATGTACTTGACACATTTCTTTAACAGACAATGCAGATCTTGATCCACTCTTAACTCATATTGGAGTGGTAAAACAATTAGACAACCAGCTTATTAAACTATCATTCTCAAAAAAAAAAGGGTTTTTAATGCAAATTTGCCTGGAAATACAAGCSTTATTTTTTTTTAAATACTAAACTCTTCAAATGCTATGCAAAGCCTTCTTTCAAGACCAGCAAGTTTTTTTTTTTTTGAGCAGAATATAACCAAACTTGAATACTTAAATGCATGGATATTTTTTTAGAAATTAATAACTGCTTCCAGCTAGAAAATATTTGCATGAATGACAGAACACTAATAAAGATCTAGAAGAAGATACCACAATTTAACGTTAGACTGACCCATTGTTCTGGAAGGGGCAGATCCATGTGTGTGTCAGGCCCCACATGCACTGATGGTCTCTGTGATCACCCCACCTCAGGAATTTACAGTTGCAGGCTGCTCTTGCCTCGCAGTGGCAGATCCTTGGGTGCTCATGTTGCTGTTGTGGTTGCTCTCTGTGCTTCACCAGTCTTCACATGGAGTCATGAGGGTGATTACAGCAGTTACAAATACTGGGCTATTCCAACTTTCTTTTTGTTAGGCCCACAGCTGGGACACACTTTCCTGTTCCGGCTGCTCCTGGCATGATTCCTAGGGTGCGGTGGATTTTGGAAGATGTCCAAAGGCCAAGTGTTCTGGAAACCCTTGGCTACCTACAAGAATGGGACAAGTGTTTCATAATCAGGTGCTGGTGCATCCTTAGGAAAAAATTGAGAAAGTCTCCACTTTATCCGGATCTGCAGCCACCTRGACTGCATGACATAGATGGTCTTGAAGTGACACACAACTAAAACTACAGGTGATAAATAGCTTCTACTGTTGATCACACCTTTGCACAGTGCTTACCTATTGGAACACCTTTTCCACAGGAAACAACTGTCACAAACAGTGGAGTCACTGGCTGTGTYGGGCTCTGTCTCAGCTGGGAATCTGAGATGTGATTTCCAGAACATGCGTGCACATATGCACAGACATTGCTCCTCCTGCCCACAATCATGTTTTTGCCTGGTACATGAACTACTAGGCTCAACCAAAATACACATTTTCTTAAAAAGCAATTTCATGCCTTTTTTATTTAACAGGCATAGAAATTCTAAATTTACAGAAGTGACCACCATAACGTGTAACAATCTGGTTTTGTTTTCTTTCTGCTTGTATTTACATTTGGAAAAAAAAATTGCTATATTTCACCTGAAAWGCAGCCAAGTGGTAGATTTCTCCTTCTAAAAGGATGCAGACTTTTTTATGCTCTTCATTTTGCCATTTGGCACAAACCAAAATCTCTTAATTACTGAAAGAACTTTAAGTTACATTATATTGAAAGCATCATTCTGAGTTGTAGCTTTATTTCAGAAAATGTGAAAATATTCTTCTCCTGAAAATACATTGAGCTGGTTCATACTGAGGAAGCAGAGAGTCTTTGAGCATTCCTGCTAAGTTATGATTTCTCTGTGCTACACCAAAAAGCTTTCTGCTTCACCACTAACATCTTTTGAGTTCTCTGTAGAGGTAGTAATATTGCATTGTTCTCACAATCCACAGTGAAGGAGGATGGTGAGAACCTCTGCTTTTATAGCAATAATCCATGTAGAAATGAGTGGGGGAAGAGTAAAGTGGATATGTTTGAAGATGCAACATATGCAAGTGAAGCTGCGGATGGCATTGGAGGGTAATAAAGCCTGTCCTGGTGACCTGAGCAAAGCTGATGTGTCACAGAAGGTCACTGGTGTGCATAAAAACGAGTTGGATCTCGTGTAGGCAGCCTGAAGATGCCTCAAAGTGACATTCTTCAGGGACTTTGGGTTCTGCTATTCCACCTGTGCACACACTGGTGAGGAAAACGGTTTGTTCCCAGGGTAGATCTGGCTTCTGACCARGGGTTTTCCTACAGGTTGGACCATGGCTATAACTTTTAACCTGGTACTTTTCTTCCTTCTTTCTACACGGCACCTGAATGGAAACCAGAATTTTAAGAGATCCGTTCTTGGRTACTCCTTGGCTGTGCTTTGTCCTGTGGGGACACACCTCCATTCTTCCTGGCTTACTAGAACTCTGTAAGTCTGTGTGCATAAAATTCTCTCTACAAAGCAAGACCAAAGCCTTTCCTTACTGATGCTGTGAATTCCCTGACACTTGAAAGCCCTAAATCAGAATTAGCATCTCTTTAAAGAGGCCCCCTGCCAAAAGGAAGATTTTGAAGCAAGAATTACTATTGTTTGAAGATTTCTGTCTAGTAAGTCAGATCAGTTTTCTCTGATTTCAGAATGTGTATTTGGTGGATAAATCTTATTCTAAATGCACTGATAGTTTGAAAATGACAATTCCTTCCATGTAGTAACATCTGCACATTGCTTTGCTATTAGCCTGCGTAATGTTTGCCAGCAACACAGCAGGGGAGTTCAAGCCTTTCTGGTGACGGATTTTTACTGAAAAAGCCAAGGCACACATCCCAGAGCTGTAGGGTGCTCTAACTGATTGGAAAGTCCATTACAGAGCTCTGCTGTTTTCTTCAGTGCAGAGGCTGGATTTATTCATAACAGCACTGGCTGGCATTAGCAGACCTTCCCAGAGCAGTGAATTAATGGTGCTCCCCACCCAGCGAATGCTTGTTGCTATCGCAGACATGCTGGTGTGTGGTACCGTCACTCTCACTCTTCCACCATGCCCATACCTTACTTTCACCAGTCTCTCTTTGCAAGACAAATTAATTTTTAAATTAAACTCAGATTATGCTTCATGTTTTGAGTTGATTTTACAGACGTGGAAATTAAGCAAAGCCTGACCAGACAGCTTCTTGCAATTGTATAAGAAGTCTGGAACAGAAAAAGAAAATTATTGCAGTTTTGCTGAGTTCTCACTATGCTGTGATCCTTGTGTTCCCATGTCTCTTAACCACATTCTTTGGGAAGCTGACTGTTTTTCAAAGTTAAACACACCAGTCGTTTTCCTCTGYCTGATGGCTGTTCACGCTGCTTTCCTGTCCATTGTTCAATTACTGAGCCTGTCTGTGCAGCTTCCAGGGAAAGGAACTATCAATCAGAGAGCCTCCAGCCCCAGTCCTGACCTGAGGAGTCCTCACCTGAGGTTGGGACTTTCGCTGCTTCTACAATGCAGGAGCATCAGCCACGTCAGTACCTGAAATGTGCTTTCAGATCAGCACAAACTGGTGTCCTTTGCAATTTAATAAACATCTGGTTGGCAGAATTAGTTTTATAGGAGTGGTAAATACCTGTTAAATATATGCAGCTTTTGAAGCACCATTAAAAACCAAGTACATGTCTGTTTTTTGTTAATTGTTCCCCTATGGTAACTGGTCTCTTCAGTCCCTAGTGTAACACCAAATTATGTAATGCTGATTCATCATATGATCCACCTCTTAAAGCATCAACTCTCTGTTTGCATACATGAGGGAAGAGGAAGGGGTTTTACATTCTGCAATCCAAGTTTCTGCACCAAATTTCCTTGGTGGGTGTTGCTGCATTATCTACACATATGTACCCATATTCAGGCTAATAGCTTTTAGTTGTACTGAATTCCTAAAGTAAGGGCCGTTAAGACTAGAAATAGAGTTTTAAATAGTTATCTTAAATATTACAGCATGCACACAGAAGACAAAGCAGTCAAGGTGAGGGAGTCTTTCCACAGAGTCCTTMGTTTCTACTTTTCACAGCTTTGCAGTAGTAATTTCTAGCTGCACATAAAATTCATGTCACTAGAGATTGGTGTAAAAGGGGACAGAGAAGTCCTGTGAAAGTAGAGACTTCCCGATCTGCCTGCTACATGGCCCCGTAATGTACAGCCCTCCTGTATAACATGAGATATGATCATTAGAATTAGCTTCAACTCTGCCCTGGCCAGAGAAAGAAATATTCACAACCCTATTAAATTTTTTGTTCTTCTTCTTCACCAAATTCAGTTTAGCACAACCTTGAGTGAGAAGCAGTCCCTGTCAATTAGTAAAGCTTTCAAAAATTAATGGGTTATCTCTTTATCTATATCTATCTCTTTAATTAATGGGTTATTTCTTTATGTACAAGTCTCTGCCCTTATATCAAGCAGATTCACACAGTCCGTTTGTAAAGACACATTCRTCTTATGCCTGACATAGCCGAATTTGGCTTTGCAAGTTCCTGTCACCACTTGAAGCTGAGAAATCCCTGGCTCCTGCCTCGTACTGCGCATGGTTCTTGGCGGCGGAGGCTGGAGAGTGTTTGGGAAAACCGGGGAAAGGTCTCAGCTGTCGTTCGGAAAGCACGGTCTGACACCTGTCCTTGCAACAAACACGGCTTTTCCAGCAGGCACGGGCTGGTATGCCGGCCGTGCGATGCGGGAAAGCAGTTTGCACCGGGGCTGGTGCACTACAGCGTTAAACTTCAATGTGATGCTCGGCCTCGTAAGATCCGCATGTTTAAATGCCTCACTCGGTGAATTTATYAGATTCCAGCCACACAAACCCAGGTGTTTTAGAACGTACATGAGCAGGCTAGTGCCCTCAGCAGTGTCCTTGCGAGCAGGACAGCGTGCCAAGGCCAGCCGCACACGGAGCCAGCCCCGGCACGGCCGCTGCCGCCGGCTCGGTATCGAGGTATCGAGGCTCACCCGCTGACGACAGCGGAAGCCGGGCGGCGGGGCCGGGCCGGGCCGGCAGCCGGGCAGAGGCGGTGCCGCTCCGCTCCGCTCCGCTCCGCCCGCGCTGCCCTGCCCTGCCCAGCCCGGGACATCTCAGCCCTGCCCAGCCCGGGACACCCCAGCTCTGCGCGCTCCTGCATGCGGGAGCAGAGAGGGAGCCGCGCCGCCCCGCTCCGCCAGCATGTCCGCCCGCTGCTGCGCCGGCCAGGTAGGGTCGGGGGCGCGGGGAGGCGGCAGGTGTGAGGGGCGGGCGGACAACCCCGCACGGCGCCGGGGGCACCCAGGGGCTCCGCGGCCGCGGCGGGGAGAGAGGTCCCGGGCGTGGGCCGGGGCGCTGGGCGCTCTCCGCCGGAGCCGAGGCCGGGCGGGCATGGAGCGGCGCGCCGTCCGTGCGCTGCCCCTCAGCCGCGGCACGGCGGGCTCCGGGCCGGGCTTCCCGGGCCACGGGAGCGGCAGAGGGAAAGCAGYCCGTGCAGCGAGCGGGGGTGCCTGTCCAGGCTCTCCCGAGTGCCCACGGTGGTGTTTCTGCCTGTTTCCTGGGTAGACTGCCCCCRTGTTTCGGGAGGGAGGCTGGATGCAGGCTGTCCCCCGAGGTGGGCGCGGGCAGGCGGGACCCGCTCCACTCACCGGCAGGGCAGTGGCGTGCGGGTGGAGGCGCCGACAAGGGGAGAGGCCTTCCCAAAGCCCTGCACGGCACGGAGCAATTCCCAAAGGGAAAACAGATCCTTCAGAGCTCGAGAGGCGGTTGGGTAATAGCCACTGGCTGGGGAGATGGAGACCCTATGGTAGAAGAATTGGAATGGTCTTAACTAATTCCGTAGCCACTGGCAGCCTGGCAGTCCTCAGATCCTTTCACAAAGCCCTTTGAATTCGGTTTGTGCAAAGTTTCGTCGTATTCAGGTACTGGCAGAGGAAGTGAAAGATGAGAGCAAGTGGTGATGGAGGGCAGTGCAAGAAAGACATTAACAGTTCAGCGTCCATGGGGTGGGGATTCAGTACCCCACATGTCACCACGGTGCACCTGTTTTCCTATTTAAATCAATTCCATAAATGACGGATCGTGACTTGCAGGGGATAGGCAGTAGTTAGGCTCTTTCTATATCATCCTCGGCTGCACTCAAGGGAAGAACCCTGTTCCTAATAGTTGTCTCTCTTCTGTCTCTCAGAAACAGAAATCTCTGTTTCTGCCATAGAAACCCATTACTACTTCTGTGGGCAGCAGACTAGCCAGGTCAGCCTATTCCTGTTGGTTTATATTTTTTAAATATGCATACAATATGTATGCATGTTGTTTTACCTATTTGGGACTTTACAGCCCTAATTCTATTGGTATTTCTTTTCCTTTGTTCTCTCTGCCCACCCTCAGAATCTGATTATTCTCTTTTGTACCTCCTGGAAAAATCTTACGTCTTTCCTGTAGTTGAAATCCTGGGCTAGATTTGGTCTTCTGTCAGTTGTTCTTTCAATCTCCAGTAGGACGGGAGGATCAGTAAACATACATACACTTGCCTGTCCTCTGGGAGCTGCCCTGGGCCTCTCCAAACAGCCCTGTGGTCGTGGGGCTCATGGCTCTTTGCATTTTATTGTGCTTTTTTTTTTTTTTTTTTTTTTTTTTTTTTTTTTTTTTTTTTTTTTTTTTTTTTTTTTTTGCGTACTTCTCCTGGAGAAGTAACTTAAGTATCAAGAGGATGAAACTGTTGTGATGCTGAGTGGTGAATGCCGTGGCTTTACCTTTGAGACATTCCTAAAGCATCTATCCCTACCCCGTGTAGTAATCTGTGATAGTAAYGTGTTTCATTGACACTGATGCGTCACTTTGGAGTCTGCAAATAAACTGAACTCCTTAATGTTGTTGAAGATTAAGCAAACGCCCCAAGGTGGATGTACTCATAGTGCCAGAAATCCCTGGGGAGATTTATTCTGCTGGTTTAAGCACTGCTTTTGATGTAAGACTTATCTATGCTAAATATGACATATTGCTGGAGTTATACCAGCAAATGCAGTGTGGATAACCTTTTTATAGGCTAAGATAATAAATAGCATAAACCATGTTTCAATAGCTTGCAGTGACACATTTTTAAAATGAAAAATGGTCTTTGCCTTCATTACTTGATTTATTCAGACCTTGAAGAAGGGTTGTTTGTTTAACATGATTAATACACAAGAAAAACTAAAGGGATAGAAGTTCTTCATTCTGTCTCAACCAAGCTTCCTCAGGCATTCTCTGGGTACTGTTAATCAAGCTGGAAAATCAAGATGGAATTTGGCCTCTCCTTCAATGTTCCCCTGAGGATGAAGTTAACCCTATATCCAGAAACAGAGATTAAGTGCTCAAGGAAAGATGAAACTTTTATGACAGTTCTGTAAAACACCTCTCATGTAAGGTCCCTGATTTTTTTTCCTAAAATGTAGTAGTTTAATGGGTGTGATGTCCTGTAGCCTGAGGATTTTCTGTGGGAAATATTTTTGCCCTGTATACACCTTCTGCATSTCTCTCTGTGTATCTGCTTTCCTAGAACTGACTTGAGAACTTTGGTATTGTCTTTTTGAGCTGTTTAAGTGTAATTTGTGCATGTGTGTAGCTGATATCAAAATGTTATTGTGAGTTAACATGACTATTAATTTTTCACTCCAGAAAGTTTTCCTGGTGTGAAGTAGATGACGTGTGRTTGGTACTTTTGGTTTGGGGTCCAATCGTGCTAAATCTGTAGTTGATGGTGCCTGTCAGAATGAATGCATTCAGGTTTTGCAGCCCAGATCCATAGTGGCAAGCTGCCAGACTTCAGTGTACTTCAGTTATGCTGATTTTCCATTTGCAAAATTATTTAAATTTATCTTAATGGACATTACTGTGTGACTTGCATCCTTGCCAAGTAGATCCTGGGACCTTTCTTTGAAGGAACTTGGCCAATTACAAACTTAAATTTGTGCATTTGCTTTTTATTAAGCAATGCACAACTTTGGTTTGAAGACAATTGTGATTTTCTGGTTTCTGAGCTGTAATAAGCTTGCTAAATGTAAAGCTTGCTTGTGTCTCATTGATAGAGTTATTTTGAGAATGCAGTGAGAATACAGTTTGGCTTGGGCTTCCATAATGCTTTTGATTACATAAAAACTCTGCTTAAATTGACAGGAAACAGGATTTTATATTTGGCTTTTCTTCAGTAGTTACTCTCAAGAGAATGAAGTTGAGATCATGGTTAAAGAAAGCAGCTGTTGCGGAAAATCTTTATTACAATGAATATGTTTTTTTCCAGAGTTAAATAAATGTAATTTAGATCATTAACATTCATTTGGGGGGGGCAGCGTGTTGTAGCTGGGTTGTTCAAGAAGATTGATTTTTCAATTAGAACTGGTAACTATTAAAGCTTATGAAGCTATTTTTGTAAGTCTGTTAAATCTTGAGTGATGTCCTTAATAGTGTTCCGCACTTTGAAATCATACAGTKTAGTAAATAAAAGGTGTGCTGCAAGTTAGATTATCAGGTTTTCATTTAATACTCAGATCTCTAATTCTGATGGGGGTTTTTAAAGGAAAAAAGGGTAAAAACAGTGTGGCTATATTTATAAGGTTTACCTTGGCCCATCTCATGACTTCAGTGACTCATAGCTTTTGGGGAAAGGAGGAAGATCCCTGGGCACTCTGAGACTGCCTGCCTCTCTGGCACTGCATATTTGCACCTGCAGCTTGACATGGGGGCTTGCAGTCCTGTCCCCATGGTCTGCTCTTTTCATTACAAGGTGAAAAGGGTGGTTCTGTCACCCTCATCCAGGTTTGTGTCCTCTGAGGTCGCAAGAGCATTACAGGATGTGTATATGCTGTGATGTACTGCAGTGCTGTGGATGGTGCTGGCGGTGTTCCTGGCTCTTCTCCACACATTTCTTGTTCTGCAGATGGTCTTCCTGGGTTACAGGGTGTGTTTGACCTGAACACTTAGCTATGGGTGTTTCCACACCTCTGCCACTGCTATTATTAATAATCACAGAAGATGAAACTAGCTGTCTGAAGTCAGATGTGGTGTACTCCACTTAAATATGTTAGAAAAATCAACCTGGTAGAGGACTATTTTCCCTGTTTGCAGAAACATGCAGTTTTTGCTTTAAAGAAATGGTTTTCTGAATAATTTAGTTAGCAAAGCCTGATTTTCTGCAGTTTCGTCCATTGAGGTTGCTATCTCATGTTGATTCCCTTTCTAATAAATAGAAATTGCCAGCCTTTTCATTACTTAGGGTTGAGATATATTTTTTTCTATGCTAAAACTTCTGCCTGTTTTCAAAGAAACTATAACTTGTTACTGAAGTCCCATCTGCTTGCTATAGCTGGATAAAATTTACTGCTGGATTCAGAAGTGATCAGAAAGGGAGTGTTATATCAGAAAGGGAATGTGTTATATCACTTGACATTGCATCTCAAGGTTGGAATCCTTTCCCTGTCACTATGTAAGAGGCAGAAGATAGTCTTTCTGATTCCTGCTTAATTTCCAATTGCTGCCTATTTTTTTAGACCTTTTCTCTTGCACCCCAAGAGTTTGTTATATTGCGGTTTTAAAGAAATGCCTTAAATATCCAYAGCTCCACAGCTGTGGAGTGAAGGCAGTGTACGAGCAGGGCCTTCAATTTTAAGGGCAAGAGAGTACTTTCCTGCAGAGGGATCTAAATATTACTGCTGCTTTTGTTTTATTTTTTGCAAGGTTGGGTATTCCAGGATATTTTTCTCCCGTTACTGGGACTTTCATTGCAATGGATGCACTCACGTCTTCTGGGTACTTGTTTCAGGGGAGCAGTTGAGTGAAAGTCTGAGCTAATGTTTGCAGTTTAGTAATTGGATCTTCTAGCCATTAAAGACAGTGTGTCCTCAAGTATTTAAACATATAAATGTTCACAGTCTGAAAACATAAAGTTTTGCTCTTCCTTCTGTCCAGTAGCGTTGATCCAAAATGTGTCAGCCTGTAGTCTCTGGTACTGAATTTTAACAGGAACTGTTCCTAGTGTTTTCTGAGAACACCTGTCTTAAAGGTTTTTCTCTTGGCTTATTGCAGTCACKGGCAAAACTGTGGTTCAGGAATATTTCCTATATCAGGCAGATGCAGGCATTGTCAAGACATGAGCTGGCTCCCCTTTGAACCTGTCAGTCTAGAAAATTGTGTGAATGTTGTGACATTGATCTAAACTGAAGCATCTTTAACAATGCTTTGAACAAGTGGATTTT